TGATGAGACGTGCGTATGCCTCATGCATTCGGTTATTTTCCTAGCGTTGGCAATGACAGTGATGCGCGGAGTGCAGTGGGATATTTTGTGGAAAATAAGACCTTATGACTTATTTATCTGCTGTATAACACCACACAACTCTCTTGAATTATGGAAGCGACGTAATGGAACGAGATGAGTTAAGATAGACTATGATTTTAAGCTCCAAGTTGCATGATCGCGCTCGTGTCGTTGTAAAGGGAAGCTAGCTGGAGCGTGAGTACTTTCACCCAAAGGGTAAACGATTAAAACTCCATCCCAGAATCACACGACTCGTTCAGGAGCTGGAGGTTAACTGGCTTTTAATTATCAGTAAGCGCTGCCTTGAATGTACACCCTCTCTCATCTCATCAGGACGTCTACGTTGTGTTCAAGGAGAAATTTTGACAGTAGCAGCTAAAAGGGTTTCCCGTGCTCCATGATAGTCTGGAGAATTACGAGCGTGGCATGATTCAGTTGTGGCGGCTGGCCCTTGGCAACAACGTCCTCGGATACGTTCAATGAACAGCGCTACGCCAGCCGCCAACCGCACCCGCTAATCAAAATACTCGCTTTCTTGTGCTCGAAGACATCCCTTGCAGTGTTGGCCATTCTAGTCTTGCTGCTTCACCCTGCATGATTTTCATGAGCGGGAACCGTTCCGACTGGGTGAACAATTATTTCATCAATAAATACAGAAAATGCGAAGGATATGAGAAATATATTGCACAGGATCGGGATCATTGCAACCTGATGCACAAAAAGAGATTAGGTTAGATCAGAGCTATATTCATAGACCGAGAAAGACGGGTGAGGGGAACGGCTGCTTACCCAATTGCTTTCATCAAGACGAAGCCGACAGTGGCAACGACCTAAAGATGGTGCATCAGAACAGGAACATCCGGGATTTGATCTGGTTGAGGGAATTTGGACCAAAAAGGAATACATACCGCTGCTGCTATGATGCTGGCTGGAACCCCGTTCTTGAGGAAATCGATGTTGGTCAGGTACAACTGACCAATATCGTCCGTCTGCGTGGCACTATAAAGGTATTCAGATATGGTTCAAATGTGCAAATAGAAACGGTGACAAAAAGGAAAGGGATTTGGGTGGCCGAACATGGGGCAGCCATCACCACATGTACACAAAGCCAACACTTACGCAGTTTGATTGGGGAACCCAGAGACGGGCATACCCATTCCAGTCGAACAAATCAGCCCAGTGATGAAGATGAGCAGGTTGGGATGGGGTTCGGGCAAATTGGCTCCCACTTCGGCCGCAATGGGGACGAGTAGAACCGCAGCAATGGTATGGCTGATGAAAGTGGAGATAACCTGTACACCAAGATACCTCAGTTGACTGCCAGCATTTGTTGCCATGAGATACAACTCACCAGCACCACCCCAGACAAAACGATAACGACAACATAGAAAGATAACCCTGAAATTGAATCACGGATAACTTCATCCATAGCCTCGAGTAACTTGCTCGCTTCCACGGCTTTTCCTAGCGCGGAGCCGCCCATGGCGATGAAAACGATTGACCAGAGGAATTGTTCAAAGTCATCCTTAAGAGGATATATTAGTACTTAAATATCCTTGTTTTTCCGTAGTAGAGAAGCAATAGAATGGATAAACTCACCTTTTTGAGGACGCCAGTCGAGAAAAAGGCGAGGATTGGGATGATAGCTATGATACCCATATCGCCGACCCAATCCTCGATCGAGTGTTCAATGCACCACAGGCCAATAGTCAAGATGCAAATGAATGCCACCCAATACTGCTTCCACGTAAATTTCTCCTTGGAGGCACGGATAGGCTTGATTTCCAGGGTTGTTCCGTCTAAAGTACGACCGGGGCGGTAGCTCAAGAGAAGGAAGAGCCAAATGAGGATAATGGAGAGCCCAGAAACCGGAAGTGCGACGCTGAACCATTCCAGCCAGTCGAGTGGAGGGTCCATGTGCTGGATGACGATGAGGTTTTGAGGTGAAGAAATGGGTGAACTCTGTCCACCAATGTTGGCAGCAAGCGCAATGGCAAGCTTCAGGGAGATTAGATTAAATACATTATTCCGAAGACTTTGACTCACAATCAAACACGGTCCGAAAGAAGATTGTGGAGGAAGTGTGCGCAAGATAGGCTAGACCAAAAACATCAGAGCTACTCATTCATAACGCTACAGTGACTTACTCGGATAAGGGTAAAGCACAGGGTAGGAGCGGCGACATTACTGATCCACATGCTCGCAAAACACGAAACACCCATAAAAGAAAGCAATACGGTGCTAGGCTTAGTACCTGCAAAGCTTAGAACCTTTGTGATTAATAAACGATCAATGTTGGTCTTGCTGATTGCTGATGCGATGGTGAAGCCTCCGATAAGTAACATGATGGTTGGCGAAAACATGACTGAAAAGATAAACCTGGACGATAAGTGGATCAGCATGATGCTCATTACTATAGGGAGATGCATACTTGGTTGCTTGAGATGTTGTGAGGCGTTCGTCATACTCGTCTCGTGAGCGAATCGTGCGGAAAATACACAAGAGGAATGGTACAAAGATTGAAGTGACAAAGAGAGGGATAGCCTAATATGCCATTAGTAAATATTATCAAGGCCTCTGAAGTAGCAGCTCACTTCTGTTGCCCAAAGGACGGTAGCAAAGCACAATATTGCAAAGCAGTTTGACGGTTCTGGCCGATCTAGTATTGGATTCGCCAAAAGGTAAAAGAAGACGCCAGATGCGATCAAGAAATAGAGCCACCGCCTGGTGAATCTAAAGTTACCAAAGCGGGTGCGTATCACGAAAAGAGCTGGCCTTCTCGCTTTGGTGGGTGAGTCTCCGATCGCCTTAACATCTCCGTCCCCAGTCTCTCCACGACGTTCTTGACTGATCATTTGTCGCCACACCGTATCACGTTCCCAAACAATCTGTAGCACTTCGTCAGTGATCAATCGGTTTTATGCAGAGGGATGGCCTACGTGTTCGCGTTGGTGGACCTTGAGCTCCTTTTGAGCCTTTTGAAGGTCACCACGGGTGATGCACCTAGCGTAATCGTCGGTGAGGTTTGCAATCCATGTATCCAAGCGGGTCTTGGTTTCAGGTAGCCAGGGATCGGAGGTCTCCACCTTTTCATGGAGGTATTGACCTTGGAGCTAGAGATCTATAAGTTTTGTGATATTATAGTAGAGTACCATCTTACCTCGCTGTCTAGTACCTTGTCGTACCTGTACTCACAATGTCAACACGAGAATACAAGTTCCAGGACGAAAGCACTCACTTTTTGAGAATCTTCCTAAAGCCAGAATGGTTGAGTTCGACATACGACTTGAGCGAGTTGGCCGTATTATAGAGCGTAGTAATCCTCCTCTGAAACACCATTCGTACATCTCTGGCGTAGTTAGTCTCCGAGTTCCAGACATCCTCTGGGCCCGCGCTGCCACTGAACGAGTCGCGGCCAGGTACAACACGATCAATGATCTCCAACAATGCCGACTTTCTCTTCGGTCCCATATCATTCGAAATCGTACGCCGCCTTCGTCTTGTGGCTTCGGGTGAGTTTCCAATTCGGGAAAGTCGGGTGGTAGAAGCGAGGCTCATCCCCATTTCCCCATAGTCGCTTGTGCTGGTTCGTCTGTCGTTTGGACTAGAGGTTCGGTTAGGACGAATCCGTGAAGTGCTTCCTGTAGAGGTGGAGAGACGTTTTGTGAGCGAGGGATTGGCCACGTATTAAATATACCTACGACGTTTGTTATCATCGTCCTCGTCATCGTCCTCATCATCTTCATCGTCTTCGTAATCACTTCCAGCGGGTGAAGGACCTTCTGCGGTCTTGATTACAATGTCCCGCTCGAGCATCTCAATGTCCTTTTTGAGGTCTGCCTCTTGCTCCGCATAAAAGAGGATAATCTTGTCGAGCTCCTTGTCAAGTAAGCCAGAAAAGATTGTGTCGGCCGCTTTGAGCCCTGCGGCGTGGCGGTTCGAAGAAATGAGTCGTGAGCGTTCGTGAGACGCCTCTAGGTCGTTCAAAGCTGAATCCGTTTCATGAAATTGCTTTTCCAACTGGAATATGTATTTCTTGAGTGCAGAATATCTACATTTATAGGCGAACAAGGAATGCAGTTAGCGCACGTTTTCAATGGGTTTGCCTTTGCACAAGCGAAAGCC